TTAATTTGGTTGAGTCTGTTGGTCTCCCTGAGAGAAAAAGAACAATGGAATGTCCTGGGAAGAGATGTCTTATATGTAAGTCGTTAAAAGACAGGCTTCTAGATTTTCCTATCGTCTGAAGGTCAATGTTGCACTGTAGGTGCTGTGACTGATATGATAGATGGTTACATCTGGGTGGTTGCTTAGTTCGTGTGGGCGTCACATACAGACGTCTCGTTCGTCTGTGCATGCATGTGAGAAGATATATGCAAACACCGTAAAATTCCACCTCTACGGTTAAACTAAATTGCTTGAAAACAAAAAAATACCTCGGGGAAATACACAAATCTCTCTGATGTCAGGATTTTGACGATCTCAGTGATGAACCAATTGACATTTCCCTTCAATATGACGAATACGAATTAAGTTGATAAAAAAAGGTCTAAAAATATAGCTGGCAGTAGCTACAACAGATTTGTTTTCAGTTTGTAGGAGATCTGACTCATCATTAGTTAATGCATATAACCGCACTATTCACTGATTCACCTGTCCATTTCTACCTTTATGAAACATAACCGACACAGAAAAACAATATGAAAGAGACAATGACAAAAAATTTGAATTCACTTTTTAGCATCGCTGTTTCGCATCAATTGCATAGTTTTGCGACATAATTCGACTGTAATTAATTGTATCATAGACTAAATCATTTCGTTTTTCTAATGTTCTATATCTCATATCATCAAAACTGTTCGCGCTAAAGTCAAATATGGCTCGAGAAATTAGATGCATTTCGGATAAAATACAAATGGATTGATGTCTACCGGGTGGTAGACTTTCTATGAATCGATAAACAAGACTTAATTTGGTTAATTCCTGTGCTTTGCGCTCTAGGTTTTCTATGTATAGGAATATTCAATTTATGTCACAATGGGTAAGAAGGTAAAATGAGACTCGTGATAAGCCTATGAAAGCTCTAGTTCCGTTGCATGTTAAGATTATGAAAGGATATTAAATAAATACATGCAGTGCATGCCGTTGCGAGAGGTATACGTATACACAGTTTATGGGATCAGTATATAGGGAATGTTGAGATGGAACGAGATTAATGCAGTATCGTGCACTCGCTCATTTCTCAAATATACTTTCCTTATAAGAATTGCATGTGTGAAATAATGTGTGAAATAATGTGGGTGCAAGTTTCAAGTGCAATATCATACGATATCTAATCAATTACAGCCAACTAAAGCTGTATTTCAAAACAGCTGCCAAAATTGAAAGCATATCTTTTGTATTGTTCTGCCTACGCTTTCAACTCGACGTCTGCCGCTATTATGCAAAGCGCAAAAATTTAATAGAAAAATCGATAATGATATATCATGACCACCGTTACTAAAATTACTTCACAGAACGAGGCGGAAATTCTCGTCCTACGTATAAAAGTCATATCTATTGTAAAAATATCCGAGGATCAAATCATTTATCATTCATGTACAAGGATACAGGTCATAGTTTCTTCATTTTTCTCTGATGTAAATGGATCGGTGATTGTCTTATCCAGGCATACAGATTTATCTTTTATATTTATAAAACATAATGCATGCTATGGCATGATTAAGTGAATACATTCATTCAAACTGGCTGTTAATAATTGAGCAAAAAATAATTGAATTGAATGTCGCGAGGACGGAGAAACAAGATCCATACAATCAGTTTTAAGATGCTCGGTTCGTAAGCAATGTTCGGTTCGTTACTCTATATATATGAAAACAATGTAAGTTTTAATACCAATGTATAACGAGAGATCTCTCTTCCGGCACAAGCGAAAATCCTGCACAAAAAGTATGTTCGAATCGTCTATATATAGTTGTATCTTTAGAGCATGAAAATCCTTTTTTATCTTATATAAATTAGTATTCTTTTATTTTTTACTTACTGTTAAATTGTACACTCGCGCTTTCTAGTTCTTCTGCTGTGGCGCGCACCGTTCTTTGCCTAGTCTGACTTTTATGCGTTTCAATGAAAAGCAACGACTTGCTTCATCTAATATCACTCTGTCAATGAAGCTGTCTTTATATATACATCAGCGCACTTTAAGCAGGTGCAATTGAAGCCAGGAGTGTATTATTTACTGTAGGAATCGTGCATAATAGTAAGCCAATGCAAAAAGGAAATTACAAATATCGCATTAACCTGACGCGCATATAATTCAGAAGCCCACTAATTTCCACAATGCTTATCATTTTTACACGTCGGTAATATCCAACGCTCAAATATAACGCTTTATCACAACGACATTTATGTGCTTTTCATTAGCTGCGATATGGAAATGAGACGTCGACATTGAAAAGTGCAACGCTAAAGAAAATATTTGTTTTTAATAACGCTTATAAACTCTTATAATTTGACTGGTTTAAGATGGCCGAATATTCTGATGTGAATATCCATTATATCAAGAACCTTCGATCATCGGCAAAAAGTTTCTATTGATTTTGTCGACGAGATAGTTTCATATAGTTTTCTTTACTTTCAAAAATTTTATCTACCGTTGGTTTTTAATAATGCCCAAAAAACCTAATTAACATGAATTGCCAATTTATCAATTAGTATAACTTGCCAAAGCAGAATGCTTTTCAATGCATTCACGTGGCTTAACGTAATTCGCTGAACGAGCGTCAAAGTAACGTCTCGGCGTATCTCCGAGTGCTGTCCTTTTGTTGAAACTCTGACACAACTTACGCCACACTTACACTCAGAACTCAGACTTTTGCGATAGGAGAGTCGAGAGAAGGGAATTATATCGCGTCTTTATAACATGAAACGATTAAGATATTACGTTTTAGCTTACGACAGCCTTTAGCGCAATAATTTCCTGTATAAAACAGGATCGGTAAAAATTATGTCCGTACGACTATGAATATACTTCATGCAAGTCGTGCACACCTCCCGAGCTATTTCACACGACCTTACGCTTAGACGGAGATATTAATGACGAACAATTTAGAAATCGTTTAAGCCTAAGTCTAGACAATTATATAAAACTTCGTTTCCCACTTTCTATTACACTAATTTTTTCAAATCTAACAAAAGAAGATTACAGGTAAATCAATCATTGATGGCTCATGTGCTGTTCAATATTATTGTCGCTCTTATATATTTCTTAGTTGAGAACAGAATGGTTTTTAATACTCCTGTTTATGGCTATAGACGTTTGGACAAAGCAAATGAACAACTGTTCCTGTTGAGATAAATTTGGAATCTTGTGGTAACCACTAACTAGACCCATGCCAAGTTGGTTTTCAATTACCCTATTAAAATTAAAAAACCGATATACATTATATTTCCTTATGTCCTCAGCGGGGGGAGACTGACTTGTTTGATTCAGGACCCTGGTAATAGATTAAAGTAGTCAAAACAGGCATTATATAGATTACAACTCCCACTACTGGCGTGTGGACGGAAGGATAAAATACGATTACCGATCTTAATGGAGGCGGTGCTGTCTACGGTCCACTTGCTTATGGAAGATGACATTTCTTTATTTTGCATCAGTATTTTTGAATAAAATGCGGGTTTTTTCACATACAGAATGCTCGCGAAGGTATGCAGAACGTCAGCGAGTGAACATGCTTTCCGATAAACTCAATAAACAATCAGCCATAGGCGCCATATTGAAGTGGCAAAGTAAACTACATAATGACGTCAAGAACTGAATAGTTAGGGACTAAGTTGACAACATCTCCCTTTCGTACGTAATTATATGAAGCCGGAATACTGTGGTTTACGACCTCTGTGCAATCAGAATTCAGTTCATCTTAAATTTTAGATCAAAATTCGATATTATCTTATAATAATGATTAAAACTCTCAAGGTGTATCCGTTAGCCTCTATAGGTCAGCTCAACTACATGCTAACCTTGAATGGTTTTGAGATAAAACTATCATACCTTTTCTTGCGGTTATTAGAGAAATTAAGAAATATAATTGGTAAAGAAGATTGAAAAGCGCTCAGTTTGGAAACTGAATTGATATAGCTCATTGCCTCAATAGTGCTAGTATACTAAAATTAAGTGAGAGCCACTATTTTCAAAACTTACATCACTTCACTAGATTTTACTAGACATAGATATCAATCATCTTAAAATAATCTACAGGCGAATGGCGCCTTTATGTGTTGGAAACATCCAACGCAATAATAATAGTCTGTGCATTTCATTATTTTTTACCTTTATTTGTTTTCATTCCGAGAAAGCGTCTCTTCTTTGCAAACAATTAAACGTCAAACAACGGCCTCGTGTTAGCAATTATAGCAATGCTTGTCGACTGTTGATTTTTTAAATTTATCAAATTTATTTTTTTTCTTTGTTCAAGGATTTGCTAGGCGTTTACATGGCGTCCTTGCGGCTGCGTTATCCGGCATATCTCTTGCATCTAGACAACGAGTTTGAAAAAACTATATCTCTTTGATTTTCTCCTCAACCATCTTTAGAAACACGAAATATATCTGTCTTCAAAACACTCCCAGTGTTAACAGACCATAGAGCAGTATGTACACCCCACAGGACGTCTGTTCACGCGATTTTATGGATGCGCATTTTATAGTTTGGAATTCAGCAACAGTTGGCATCTACTTTGTCGGTAAAATTTATATCACTTTATCACTTACTGCTGGTAATAATAAGAATTTATTGTGTCACGTTTTGTAACTTATATTCCACTCAAGTAATCGTTTAAAGTTTGTTTTAGTATGCAAAAAGATGAAGATCATGCCGAGTTCAAAATGCTCAAAAGTTTGGGCACAATATAATCCCAACTGACTGTGACGTACATGCTACATTCCCTGGGAAGATCGTTAGAATTAATTCGTAACCTAAACATACGAAGCTCTTAGTACAAGTTAACAATCTGGAATTTGGGCAGGATTTAAATTAAAGATGATGCATCTTATGCTAATGTAATGTAATTGGTTGAGTGAACATGAAGTATCGGGAATGTATCGTTCCAGTCTTCTGCGTGCGCAAAGTTGTCATTTGCACATGGTGTTGTTTGAATTGTTGAAGTTTATATTTGATAAATTTTCTTGTTTTTCACAACTTTTTTATCACGAAATCAAGTAGAAAAATGCAAGGAGGATCACCGATAATTGTTTTAAGTATGGAATATATTACATCCTTTATCCAGCTCTGTATTTTTGATGTTTTAATGTGCGTCGTCTATGTCTTCAGATCAGTCAACAAGGCGTGAATCAGGTCGTAAAGTACAACTTGGTAATGTACAAGCCGCAAAGGTACAGCTCACAATATATTACAGTTCTGTTATAGCTTGTCAAATGATGTAGCGAAATGTAAAGTGCACTAGATCGTAAGATCTGTGGTGAGCTAGCTTGCAAATCCTCGAACATTTGTAGTAATCGTAGTATTCAATGTTATAAATTCACCTTCACAATAACATTCACAACTTTAAATGCTTATATCCTATGTTTGTTTCCTCTTGTCAATCTGGTTATATTCCCTCCAGCCCCCCTTGTTTATCTGGTTATATTCTGTTTTTTTCCCCTTTTGTCAATTTGGTACAATCCCATCTTGTTCCCTTGTCCATATCCCAATATGGATGTATCCTATATTCTTCCTTACCTTTTCAATGTTTAGACAATCGCAGATGTTATTCGAACATGCCTTGGACCCCGTGCAATGCTGAAGGTATCTGTACCAGTCTTGTAACTGCAGCTAACTTTTTACCATTACGTAAAATTCCAACAGAAATCAAAGCTATATTCGTAATTTGTAGATGTTGATGAATCCTATGGGGGGCATTGTAATGACAAATGATGGTAATGCAATATTGCGTGAGATTCAAGTCCAGCATCCTGCAGCAAAAACAATGATTGAAATCAGTCGTACTCAAGATGAGGAAGTCGGAGATGGTACTACCTCTGTTATCATCTTAGGTAAGAAAAATTTTACCTTTTTTCTCTTCACCGCCATTATTTAATCTTCTCTCTGATCTTCGACTTTACTTAATCAGCATGCCACGTCTATTTTAGCGGGTGAAATGATGTCAGTGGCAGAACAATTTCTTGAACAGCAGATGCATCCCACTGTAGTGATCGGGGCATATCGTCAAGCGCTTGAGGACATTTTGAAAATCATGAAAGAAGAAATCAGGTAGTTTATTGTGGTTTGAAACATGTTTCACAGCAAATCAAATATTAATATGCTGTGATTTTAGTCTTCCTGTTGATGTGAATGACCAGGAGCTTATGAGAAAAATTATCAAAAGTTCAGTTGGCACCAAATTTATCAATAAGTGGTAAGTGTGTGATCTTTGTTGATTTTTAATCAAATTTCTGAAATGTTTTCTGGTTCAATAGAACTAGGTTACATACAAAAATAGAATTTGATTGTGCTTGAACAACCTTGATTTTTTAAAATAGGTGCTAAATTCTAGAATTCTGTTTACAGTGGTAACCTAGTAACTTGTTTATAGTGATAACCTAATAACTTGTTTACAGTGGTAACCTAGTATCTTATTTATAGTGATAACCTAATATTTTGTTTACAGTGGTAACCTAACATCTTGTTCACAGTGGTAACCTAAGATCTTGTTTACAGTGGTAACCTAGTATCTTGTTTACAGTGGTAACTTAGCTTCTTGTTTACAGTGGTAACCTAACATCTTGTTTACAGTGGTAACCTAACATCTTGTTTACAGTGGTAATCTAAGATCTTGTTTACAGGGGTAACTTAGCTTCTTGTTTACAGTGGTAACCTAGTATCTTGTTTATAATAAAAACCTAACGTCTTGTTTACAGTGGTAACCTAGCATCTGACATTGCTTTGAAAGCTGTCAAGACTGTGTTACGAGAGGAGAATGATAAGAAAGAGATAGATATAAAAAACTATGCTAAGGTTGAGAAGGTAAAGTATTTACAATACATACACACATCCGTATATATGCTCAATGGTATTTTGCCCTAACCAAGAGCATGGGTTATTCTGTTAATATTACTTTAGGTACCAGGTGGAACATTAGAAGAATCTTGTGTATTATCTGGTATAATGTTGAATAAGGATGTAACTCATGCTAAAATGAGAAGGTGCATGTCATATTTTTTGTACTGACTCGCTTTGCTTGTTTTCATATTGAAGATAACAAGTTTGCCTTTTGCTTTAGGAAAATTCTAAATCCAAGAATAGTTTTACTGGATTGTCCTTTAGAATATAAAAAAGGAGAGAGCCAGGTGAGTTGAAATTGCATTCAATAACAACTGAACCTTGCCAGGAACCTGACAACAACATTTGTTTATTTTTTTCACTAGACTAACATGGAGCTGTCCAAGGAGGAAGACTTCACGTAGGTGATAAATGATATTTTTGATATTTTTTTCATAAATTTCTCTGATTTGTCAATTTTGCATGTATTTAGACGGGCTTTAGAGTTGGAAGAAGAGTTCGTCAAGCAAATGTGTGATGAGATTATAGCTGTTAAACCCGATTTAATTTTTACTGAGAAAGGTGTTTCAGGTATCAATAAGATTGCATTCTTCTCTTGCTTTCTACCTCAGCATTCCATTTTAGACCTAGCGCATCATTGCTTCATGAGGGTGAATATTACTTTGGTACAAATATAGATACCAGCCAATAGTTCATTATGTTAAGTATTTGGTAAAGCATCAATTATAGAGTATAGAACTGCCCCGTTCTCAAAAAATAGTATTTATGCTGGTTCTGTAAAAGTTCAATTCATGCATCGAGTAACATAAAACAAGGTAGTTCTATGGCATTCACTGTTAAGGTTTGGGTTGGCTAGGTATTCTATAATTCCTTATTCCTCCCATATCATTTTAGACCTGGCACAGCATTACCTCATGAGGGCGAATATTACAGCAATTCGTCGGGTGAAGAAGACTGATAACAACAGACTTTCAAGGTAAAGAATTCACTTCCTGAAAGTTCTTTACAAAACCTTGATAAAACCTTCTGTACCTACACTACACCTCTGTCCTTCTAGAGCTTGTGGTGCCACTATTGTTAACCGAACTGATGAGTTGCAAGAATCAGATGTCGGGACAGGAGCGGGATTGTTTGAAATTAAGAAAATTGGTGACGAGTATGTATCAAATTATTTTTTATATAATTTTATTAATGATGATAAAATATCAACATTCATTTTCTCTTTTGATTATATTTTCATTACACCCGTAATCTCACTGATCCCCGATCAAATGTCACTTATCTCAATCCTATCGTAATCCCACTGATCCCCGATCAAATCACTGATCTCAATCCTATCGTAATCACTGATCCCGATCAAATCTCACTGATCTCAATCCTATCGTATCTGATCCCGATCAAATCTCACTGATCTCCTATCGTAATCCACTGATCCCTGATCAAATGTCACTGATCTCAATCCTATCGTAATCTCACTGATCCCCGATCAAATGTCACTGATCTCAATCCTATCGTAATCTCACTGATCCCTGATCAAATGTCACTTATCTCAATCCTATCGTAATCTCACTGATCCCCGATCAAATGTCACTGATCTCAATCCTATCGTAATCTCACTGATCCCCGATCAAATGTCACTGATCTCAATCCTATCGTAATCTCACTGATCCTCGATCAAATGTCACTGATCTCAATCCTATCGTAAATCTCACTGACCCCCGATCAAATGTCACTTATCTCAATCCTATCATAATCTCACTGATCCCCGATCAAATGTCACTAATCTCAATCCTATCGTAATCTCACTGATCCCCGATCAAATGTCACTTATCTCAATCCTATCATAATCTCACTGATCCCCGATCAAATGTCACTAATCTCAATCCTATCGTAATCTCGCTGATCCTATCGTAACCTCACTGATCCCCGATCAAATGTCACTGATCTCCGATCAAATTTTACTGATCTCTACCCCAACATAATCCCACAGATTCTACCTCAACCACTCATCCCCAATCCTAACAAAATATCTGTACTATATCCATTCTAATCCATTGTAATCCCACTCTTTCCCCATTGCATCCTCCCGAGCACAACTGATCGCCATCCGACCTCGTTGCAACCTCATTGTTTCCCATCCTATCCCATTGTAGTCCTACTGATATCCTATCGTAATCCTACTTATCCCCGTTGTTTCACACGAACTTTATCGCTTCAGATATTTCTGCTTCATAACCCAGTGTAAAAACCCGAAAGCGTGCACAATCTTACTCAGAGGACCAAGCAAAGATATTCTACATGAGGTAAAGTTATCGAAGTTGGAACCTATAGACCATTCTCCTTAAGACCTAATGCTACATGAAGTTTCAATGCCTCCACAAACTAACGAGTTAGTCAAGTTTATGTACTATCAGGCTTGCATGTCTGTTGTTTCTTAGCTACTTTGAGCTTCAATTTTCACATCATTCTTGAGATTGTATAATCTCTTCTAGGTTGAACGTAATCTGCAAGATGCTATGAACGTAACTCGAAATGTTATAATGAATCCCATCCTGGTCCCAGGTGGAGGGGCTTGTGAGATGGCTGTATCACATGTACGTGTTTTATGACGATTTTCAAATTCAAATAACACTACATCGTAGTCGAATGTGAACAGATTAGAGTGCAGTATCGTAGCACGCCTAAGCAATTGTTTGATATTCTACAAAGGGACGAATAACCACCTTATTCACGGTAGTTGAATTTATTAGAAATGTGAACTTTATCTGTAGGCGTTGACGGAGAAAGCAAAGTCGGTACCAGGGATTCACCAGTGGCCTTACAAAGCCGTTGCGACTGCGTTAGAAGTGATCCCGAGAACTCTCATCCAAAACTGTGGTGGCAATGTAATTAGGACATTGACAGCGTTGAAGGTTTGTTGCTGTTAGAGGCTGTTCACACGATCCAATTTTGTTCGACTTCGCACACGATTCACTTCTGACGTATGGGATGTAGTGTATTATCGATAAAGCAATACTGAATTGGCTTCAGCGTATTTACTGCCCATAGTCATTGCAAGTCAACAGACTATAAAACATCCATCAGAAGTGAATTGGATACAACGAAATTGGATCGTGTGAACATACCTTTAGTTCAAATGTACATTACATTTACCGCCGTTTTAAAACTCCAGTGGCTTCAACTATTGTCGCGGCTATCTGAATACTGTTGAAAGCATTTCATTGTGCCATTTTATGCTTGTTTTGAAGGCTAAACACGCGACACCAGGGAACCATACTTGGGGAGTGAATGGTGAAACAGGAAAACTACAAGATATGAAAGAACTGGGAGTCTGGGATACTTATTCAGTCAAGGCCCAGACGGTTAAGACGGCCATAGAGGTATAAAAAGGCAAAACCGCTGGCTTTGAGGCAATGCAATTCAATTTTCATTTCGTTGAAACATTTTTTCTAATATTTTCAGACGGCCATATTGTTGCTACGTATTGATGATATTGTATCTGGTACAAAGAAAAGTGAGGGACGACGGGGACACTCGGGTGCTCAGCCTACAGATGCCTCGTTAGCGGAATATATATTTATTACCATATAAGAGAGCACATGAACCGCTTAACTCGGATTAAGGACAGTCCTGACTGTACCTCAATATTTTGATGTGCTAAAGAAACCCCGGTTAAGATACTAAATATTAATAAATACATTATTAACAAAGATTTTGCAGTGCTGTTCTTCAAAAATGAATCACCGCTACACAGACTTATGTTACAGAGTACAGAAAAAAATTGTTATTGTTATTCTAGTTCTTTAGCCTGTTTGGAGAAGAAAACTTCATTCTCCGTGAAGATTTGTCACCTTTTCATTTTGAGTCATGGCCTAATTTAGCAATAGTTAATCAGCTTATGGTTTATATTAGACGATCAAAAGAGTATCATTAGCAAATTGCTCCTTGTTGTGATGAAGGTCGTCTGTATGCCCCTGTAGGACATAATTTTTGAATCAACAGTAACGTAGACTTGCTCAGCAAAAACTGACAGGTTTGTGTACATAAAATTGTATAACGTATTATATTACCAAGGATTATATTCATCCGTGTCTCATTAGGTGATTATCCCCAGTTAATTCCCTTAAATGATGCTTTTTATAGTTCAAAGTTGACCGACTGTGGCTTTTGTATGAGCAAAAGCATAACAAATAAATTAATTTGGCTGATGGGTTTCTAACAGGTCACAATTAGTGTTTTGTTTTTTATCATTATTTCCTAATTGAAATTTGTCATGATAGTTGAATCATTCAACGTTGCAGGTCAAAATGAGGGTGAATACGTGGTGTAAGTTTGCTATTCCAAGAAAATTTCATTTCGCTATAAATCTTGTTCATAGGAACATTATTAGCCTGTGATTTTTGTATTGTTTCATTTGCATTCCTTTGTGCATTTTTTTGACACTCTAATCCTGAAATAAACAATAATTAAAAAATATCTTTTACCATATGATATTGCTGTATTGCTCTTATAGTCCAGAATACCACTGAACAGCAAATATCATGCAAATCACAGACCCTATAATGATATCTGAGTTGTGCGATCAAAGTTTTCTTTCGAATTGCCAATCTCGTACAGTTACAATATGTGAAATTTTATTTTCCAAAAAGTGACATATCTTTGTGTTCCTATTTTTAGTCTGAACTTTGGTGCAAATAAATAAAACGAACGTTGCGTAGAGACAGCCTAATGGAAGCCTGAGGTAAAATACTTTCTTATAATGGATCTTCAATTTAGCACAATGGATCATTAATTTTCTGCGTCTCTCAAATATCCTAAGTATTTCTAGTGCAGTACTTTACGAAAGCTTTGATGCAAGCCTAATGGTTTGGGAATCTACAGTATAGCCTGAGGTAATTATACCCTCTCCTTAAATTTATGAACACGAAATATGTTGTATGATTACTTTGTGTTCCGTTCCTTTTCTATCCTGATTTACCCATTCTAAAGACAGTATTGTGCCTCCATGTATCATTGTAACCCCAGATATCGACGTATATAACACAAAAGTAACATGAAAATAGTTGTATATTGCGATGTTATATCTGTGTTTCGTCTAACTCTTTTAACTCTTGACTCTCTGAAATGGTAATGACACCACCCACGTTTTTTATATGGTAGAGATTGATTCTCCGTAAACAACAGTTTACTTGGAATGTACAATATTATTATCTTCATTATCAGTTGAAAATATTTTCACTTCAATACGTTCTCATCTGGCTCTGAATCTTATGTTATGCAACCGAGAAAAGATTTATATCGACACTCCACTTCATTTGTACCCATTATAGAATAGTGCAATGCGATTTCATTTTCCCGAAAATATCAAAACCACATGCAAGGGTAAAGTAAAAAAAATCTTGAACGTATTAGTATACTTAGTGATTAATGATTTGTCTGAACTCTTACAGACTGTGCAAACCTAGGATTAGTAGAAATTGCAAAATATAGACTTTGGTACATTTAACGAAGGGACTTCCTCTGAAATTTTACTCTTAAGAATACTGGCAAAATCCAGAAGAAATACCTTTGCGACGTTCTTGTCATTTTTTCCATGATTTATTTCCTACAAACCTCTAAAAGTATTGTTATTAGTCCGTCTGCGTGAGGTTTATCAACATTCAACGATCTCCCATTGACCTTTTAGACAGTATTTCATGATATCTTTAAACTTGCCAATCATTTAAATAGCCTCAAGATACGAACAATGTTGATTTTGATGATAAACTATATATTTTTCAAGTCGTGAAGAAAAAAAATTGTTTGGCATTTCCTCTCAGTAAAAGCGTAAGGCTTACGTAGATTGTATCTTCAGACTATAACCAAATCATTATAGAACTGATGACAAATATATCTATTAAGTAGGTAAATGTTTTATTAATAATAACATGTCCCAACAAATGTGTAACATATATTACATGTTATTGTAACTGATCTAGGAAATAACATGGTAAACTATACTGAGTACCGTTACGCGCGCCAGCAACTAAACACATAACATTTTTTCGACGGAGGGGACAATTTTTTCTTCAGTTTAACGTTTTTTATATATAAAAAAAGGCATACGTACAATGTTAGAGTGTAAATTCATCCTGTACAAAAGACAGAAGTCGTTTGTTTGATTTCACACTGGCATTAATTATCCCTAATGATTCTAATAATTAGGTCTTATTTAGTGCTATTATATCTAATTAGTTCCAGCGAAGACTAACGTTGAAATATTACTGTGTAAACACGTAAGCAATATTTCATGTCAGATCACATGAATTTGGGATGAAGCTGCATGGTGGTTACTATATACGAATGTTTAATGCGTCTTTCTCATGCATTACAGAAAATCATTCTTTTAAATTGAAACACTGGGTTTGATTATCGATTATGGGATCATATTTCCATTCTTTCTTGTGATACAAAATTTATAAATCAATTTTCAGCTGAAATGATGTCTAACACATGGGGTCAAAACTTGCTTCCCCACACAAACATCGTCTAGACTAGTAAATGTTGTTGAGTTTTTGTAATGTGCACGATTCAAGCTGTTTATCACCTATATGGTTTATCTTTTCTCTTTATCAGTTGGGATTCTACCAGGCTACATACTGTTGGGAAACGCACTCACTAAATAGACGATATAATATTCTATGGTATTCAAGCTCCTTTCAGAATGATGTAATGCTTACAGAGATACCATCTTGTTTGGAATTTAACGTCGAACATATATCAGTTCAGTTGCTCCTGCAGGAACGTAAAGATATACCATTTGTGTTGTCAGTATATAGACGTCGTGAATTCATTGGATAACATCTCAAGTGCTCTGATATAACGATTTTACAATCTTTTTTGTGAAAGAAGTTCACGAAACTAAGTGAAACGAATACTATAGGTAAGTTGCAGAACGTTTTTCTTACTATTAAATGTAAAGACAAAATATTACATAGTTCTATATAGAACTATATAGATCTTGAATTTTACTATTCACATCACCTGAGTTCATCAATTCAATTTGGTTGTGCGTATAGTGTTTATAAATTTTGTTTGTTTAAAAGGTGTAGAAGTCGGATTATAATATAAACAGGGCCCGAAATCGGCACATTTAATTATATTAACCTATATGCTCATATACAACAGCAAATTAAGGCCAGAGCTAAAAAGTCAAAAGTTCTTTTGAAAAGCTTTTACAAAAGTGTCGAGTGGTTCCAAAAAATCTGTTATATATCTACACGTCCATCATTATTACGTATGTTTGTGTTGACATTTGGAATGAATGGATCATTTTACCCTAATGCATGCATCAAGACCGTAAACAATGTTTAATCTTGTTCATTCCTCTCTGATCGAACCATCAACCAGGGTAAGCTGAAGGTGCTTCCTTTTTATGCATCTCCAAGAATTTTAAAGGGAAATGGATAGATTTTGTTGGTACTTGTATTCTTAAATGAAACTTATTTTATCCGTTTCTTATTTCCTCAGACCCGTAATCCGTATAAAAGCAAATTCTGCCAACTTCGAGAACAATTACAGCGTGTGAAAGGTATGTAAAAGCCTGGATACCATTTTTTTTTTAATTTCCGTACGCATAGGTTTCAATGCAATTATTCCATCTCTGTGTATACATTTCATGTTCGCATCGTTTTTCGGAAATAGTTGGTTGCAAAATACAACGCTTTAAACAAGCGATGTTTAAACGAAGACGAGCGGTGTTTAGGCAACATCTGCTGTTGTTTTATCTTTTCAAATCAAGAATGCTTTAATGCTCGAGGTTAAAGTGCTAGTTCGTGATTATCATCTTCGGTCAGCACTATTATATGTAAAACATGATTACTGTTCCGTCGTGAGGCCAATAATGGTCAGATTATCCATGTAACCAGCAAAAATCCACAAAACATGTGTTTATTTAAATGAATTATTTTCCCTTGCGGTCATTAATTCAGCTGTGCGTGACGATTTATAAACAGTAAAGTTTTATTCCAGTCGCACGCTATGCTGTTAAAGTAAATACACGACAATTAACGAACAAGGATCGTCGAAATTAATTCCTTCCGTTCATCGCCATACGTTCTAATTCATTTGATGTTTCAATCTGCGTTCCATTCCCTTGCATACCTGTGGCGCGCAAACACACGTAAAATGTTCAACTGACAAATCGACAGCACAGATGCTTTCTGAACAATCGCTGAATGGTGTAGAGACCCACCATAAATGTCCACCATTTTAAGCTATTAAGCTTTGAAACTGTATTGGTTATATCATTTTCTAATTACCGTATTCAGGGAAACAGCAGGCGATTTTTTGTGCCAAAAATATATCAATTCACCAGAGTCATTATTCAGGCATATAGAGAAAGAATTTCAATAACAAAATATTTAAAATACAAAGAAGTCCCCAAATATTTTTCTATATATGATCATTATTTCTTATCCGCAGCTGTTATTATATTTATGATTTTTTTCAAATCTCTAGATGTTTAATTTGCAATATAAAAATACAGACGTATATTATATTCAGGTCTCGCACTTCTACGTTGATGAAATGTGTGCCCTATATAAAGCTGTTGTGTTATTTTTAAGTCTGTCGAGATATTTTCATGTAACTGTATGAAGAGATGCATTCTTGCGTGACCTGGATATCTATCGGACGTATAATGAATACACATACATACATGGGTCACGGCTTTTGCATAAGTACTAATTTTGTTCCAAACATTGATTTGGTTATCAGTGACACCCTCAAGTTTTCTATCTTAGAACACACTTAAACCCATTTCAAGTTGGCTCGTTAAGTACTTTTACCCGGAAGACACTTGATAATCTCGTCAATGGCTTGGCACATTCTCCGTTAATCCATCATTTCCCTGCTAATAACACCGACGTTAATGCACTCTTTCCCGTCTGTTCTATGGTTTGAAACGTTGCGAGTTTGCTTCGGTGTTTAATTCTTGTTTCTAAGAGCTTTGTGGAAACATTTGTTTCTTGTCGTGTATTGAGTCACGGAGACACAGGTTCTAGGAATTTATTTCTTAACCTCCTCGTACTTGCATGTTTATATCTTTGATGGTTATCTTTCATGATCTTCTGTATACTGCGACACGTCCTCAAATGTTTAATACACATATTTTGTTGCACAGTTGAGTAAAATTATTTATCCCCTTCGTTAAGATGAACGAGGAAAACAAAAGAGTGGAAAGAAGTGAAGATTTGCGATGGGGTTGGCGTTCAGTCAGACCAAGATGTTTACAATGGTTCAATTCGTCCGTAGGACTGGTGGTTATTCTGGCATCTTGCAGCGTCGTTTATGGTGGGTGTAGTGATGACCCGTTTCAATTACACGAGTCGTTATAATGATATATGGCATCTTATAGTTCTTGTGTAAATAACTTTGAGTGCCTTTTATATCATAACTCAGTGAACTTTGATGTCACTTAATTTTATATAAGTAGAGATATGTTGTTAAGACTGGGCCCGTAAGGGGTCTGATTCTGGAATGAAAGGCCATGCTACACGGTGCAATTTTTCTTCCAACTTGCAATGCAATTCTACTTTTGAGAGATGTGTGTTAGGTAACAACGAAACTTTTGTGTTTGAATACACATTATTGCACGTTTATTGCACTTCATCCACTTTTCTTTTGCTAGACTCTTCACTAATTTTTACATCTCTTAGAAGTAGAATTGTATGCGTTGCAAGTTGCAAGAAAAATTGCACCTTGTAACAGGGCCTTTAGGCTTGGCTAAAGGCTATTGGAAAACGTCCCTCGCGAAATAACTTTAATGTTTCATTCTCAACAGGAATGACTGTAAATGGCTTTAATTACGCCGCTATTCCATCCCTTGAGAAACAATTCCACTTTAACAGCAAGCAAACGGGGCTCATGTCATCAATCAGTGATATCTCAAATATGGTCATGACAATCATTGTTAGTTTTTATGGCTCATTTGGAAACAAACCTCGCTGGATTGGACGCTGTCTGTCGGTCGTTAGTCTTTCTTTGATTTTGTTCTCTGTTCCTCATTTTATGATCGGAAAATATCAACCTCCTGCAGGTATAGGTACCTCGCTTTATTTTAGATTATTTTATCTTAAAATGAACTTTGATAAACGTTATTCCTTTTTCTAGCCATACATTCATCGCAATTCTGTTCAGTAAACGACAATTCAACAAACAAATGTGAAGATAGTGAATCTATTTCATTCTCTTGGTCTTATTTCATCGTATTCTTGGCGTCTCAAGTCATTGCCGGCGCTGGTGGAGCTCCGATGTTTAGTTTATGCATCGCATACCTCGATGAAAACGTCAGCCCTAAACATACCTCCATATTCATTGCAATATATTACGTCTCTGGTTTTCTTGGTCCAAGTATTGGCTTCGTTATTGCTGGTCAGTTACTCAGTACCTACGTGGACATAGATCAGGTCAGTGGTAATGTTACCAGCGTAATGTTCCTTTGTATTCAAACTGAAATTAAAGCCTTATTCTGATATCATTTTCCCCCAGTCTCAGTGGCCCGATATGTCGACTAGTTGTACACATTATCCTTGTGTTAGGTCCCGGCCTAGCTTAACCTCCTTAACTTAAGTTAAACGGATTTGTTTTTATTGACCCGTAAAGGTGTCTTCACACGATCCAATTTTGTTGGATCTGATTTACTTCTGATGGATGTTTTATAGTCTGTTGTCTTGTAATGTATATGAGCAACAAATCCACCGAAGCCAGTGCACTACAGCTTCATCAATAACCGACTATATTTCATACATCAGAAGTTATTTGGATCCAACAAAATTGGATCGTGTGAACAAACCTTAACACTGGCAGGACGCGTATTTTAATGAGTATTGCTTCAATATTTTAGCCTGAAGGTTTTAACCTGAGCCCCCTCGATCCGCGATGGATTGGCAATTGGTGGATTGGATCTTTGGTCGGCGCTGTAGTTATCTTCGTGCTAGCTTTCGTCATCATGGGGTTCCCAAGACAACTGCCACGCGCCAAAATTCAGCGCGAGGAAGCGATACGAAATAAAGAGATTCCAGCTCACGATGAAAAGATCTCGGGAAATCTCAAGGACATTATACCAGCAACGAAGAGTTTGATCTGTAATCCAGTTTACGTTTTTCAGACCCTTGGTGTGTGGGCACAGTAAGTTCTATATTATGCATAAGATTGAACTACGACAAGAGTGTCGTATAACTCGTATTGAACGTCATAATAGCGAGTTTAAGATGCACCAAATCTACGACGCGGACGTGACATGAAAACTGCTACTACTGTTATTTGTTTTACATACGGCTCTGATATAATTTTCATTACGGATTTCATGGAAAGCTGTAGAAATTAGAGCAGTGTCACTTTCGTGAATCTTAAACTGACTATGCTGACATTAACACTGCACCTTAACACGACTGTAATCACCCATGATAGAGATTTTATTTGAGATGAAGATTCACTACGAATGTTCACGTTTTGCAGAGTTGTTCTTGGGTCTGGTGTTGGTCCGTTTCTCTATAAACTGATCAGAACTCACTATGGTGCAACTCAAGCTCTTGCTGGAATTGGTGTGGGGATGATTGTTGGCATTAGTAGTACATGTGGGACATTGATGGGTAAGAAATGCATGAGATCGTTGCAAGAATTCTTTACGAAACAAGAATATTTGAAAGAAAATTTTGTGATATTACAGGCTCGTTGTTTGGCACCAAAGCTAAAGTGAAAAACAGCTGTAAAGTTGCGGCAAAATATTGCTTTTATTTACAACTTGTTGGCATGTGGATGACGTTCATGTTTCTTCTCCCTGGTTGTAATGATATCAAAGTCCCAAACGAGAGAACGAACAGGTAAAGTTTTTAATAATATAGTGGGCAATGAAATGTAGAACGCTAATAGCTTATAGCTCCTCACTCAATTAATATCATACATAAATTTCAGCACCTGCGATTGCGACGGTGTGAAATACGTTCCTGTATGCAATCATAACATCACGTATTACTCCGCTTGTCACGCGGGCTGTCCACGCCAGAACTCGACATCCAAGGTAAATATTTTAAAGTAAACAGCTGGGACTGTTGTATGAAAGCTGGATAGCGCTATCCACCACCGGATAGTGCTTTTTTCAACCGTTCTAAAAATGTTTGAAAAGCAATAAAATTTCAGCTTTGCAACCAACAATTATTAAAGAGGATTCTCGATTTAGGAATGCTAAGATTTAACCAAAGTTATACCGAACAACGGGCGATTTTAAAGCGATTGAAAAAACCACTATCCGGTGGATAGCGTTATCCGGCTTTCATACAACCAGCCACTATAGTACATGTCTTTCAACTCTTTACTTGGCTGTCATTCCAGTGATATACAAACTATGATTACCGCCCCGTTCTAGTAATGGAATGTATTTAATATAGAGTTATACAAACTGCTCCTCGGGGAGTTGGACTAAAGATGAGCTGAAACTTGGTGTTTGCGATCAGGACTGTAAGAATGTTTATACTTTCCTAGTTGGCTTTACCTTACTATTGTCGTTAAGCTATCTCAATGATATTCCTGGTAAAGTCGTAACGATAAGGTACGCTGTTTACGAAGTAGCATAATGAATGGTTGTTGAAAAGAATGTACTGTTGAGATATTCTAACTAATTCGCCCATATTTTTTCTTGTTCTTACAGGAGTGTGTTAGAAAATCAACGTTCATACGCTCTTGGTCTTCAGCTAGTAACGTGGCGTGCTTTGGGCAGTCTGCCAGCTCCTGTTATCTTCGGGTCATTCATTGATAGGTCTTGTATATTATGGCGAGAATCCTGTGGCCAAAAAGGAGATTGTTTGGCTTACAAAACTGGAGACGTTGTTTTCGTCATCATCTCATCATCACTTGTTCTTCAAGGTAAGTCTGAAATCCGTCTTGCTATTTCGGCCTGAACTACTTGAAAACATAGATTGTTCTTTTTAGTATTGGCCATCTTATTCTTCCTGCTGTGTTGGTATTTTGCGTGCAAATCCAGTGCAGAACATGGCCACGATGTTGGTGCATCTTCCGAAAGAAACGGAAGTGTTTCCAAAGGTGATGGTATTTCTTGCTCGAAGGAAAACGGCTTCGATAATCCTGTTGGTGCGAACGCGATCATTTGCGACGAATTTGAAACCAAATTTTGAGGCAAACATGTTGATATATATATAATAAATCTCTAACATGCAGTTAATACATCTTACAACTTGTAAAATGTTCGTATTTGGGGCAGGAACATGATTGGTTTTCAGTTTCGCGTAAATCATATTAAAATATGCTAGTGATTTTACGGTATTCTTTTATACCTGCGCTATTGGGAAATGATATGCGCTCAACTCGATTCGAGTCTTGTGCGTTTGTTGTTCTCGTTTAATTTACAACGAGCGGGCGAACCTGAAGGATCTCATAGAATGCATATGGTAGGTGTACGAAATTAGGAAGGTATTTTGAACGGTAACACTGCCAGTAAACCTTGGTTTTTTTAAGTTTAATGCATTATAAATGGACAAATTTACAGATAAATCTTTAGGTTTAATCACTTTAATGCATTATAAATGAACAAATTTACAAACAACTGTAATAATTCGCGAACCAATGCCTTTACTTACAGTCGCAATCACTAACATGGTCGTCGGAAGAAGTACCCTGTACGAGAATCGCACCGGAGGAGAATATCGGCCAGGGGGGGGAGAGGAGCGAAAATAATCTCCAATTTCTTGAAACAACGTTTTATACAAAAAAGTTTATTTCATTTATATTCAACTCTTTTGTTTCTCCTTTCCGTTAAAATGAGTCGAAAGCAAACTCCAAGTGACTTTTTAAAGCAAATTATCGGCCGTCCTGTGGTCGTGAAACTGAATAGTGGTGCAGATTATAGAGGTAATAAACTATACGTTTAATAGTTATTTTATAGTCAATTTCATGTACCTAATAGTATGAACTTTTTCTTATCTGTACGTTATGTTGCAGGTGTCCTGGCTTGTCTTGATAGTTATATGAACATTGCTTTGGAACAGACTGAGGAATATGTGAATGGACAGGTATTCCAGTTAATAAATAGATGTAAAATGGCTATTGCCTGTATTGGAAATGGTCTCTCCCACTGATGTCAACTGATCAATAAGAAAGTCTTCTCTTAATAGAAGATTTAAGCTTGATTTTCAATAGTTTACCTTAAATCTTTCCATTGATCAAAAAAGGACTATCTCATTGATCAGTAATTGATGGTATTTTCACTCAAACAAAATTCAAGTAAAAATACCATCCTGAACTTTTACTTGTACTACTCCAAGTACATTCTGGACAGGCACCTGTAATAAACAGGATGCTGTCTTGAAACTCACTATGCAACAGTAAAAATTATAAAAGATATACCATTATTGATGGAGAGGATTTCCCATTGCAAGATGCAATAGACAAGAAACTTATAAACTTCATGTTGGTCATTCTTCTTTCAGTTAAAAAACAAATATGGTGATGCTTTCATTCGTGGAAATAATGGTAGGCTTCAGAAGATGCATTTTGTAAACATATACTTTCAATTGTTTAATGGCTATTTATTTATTTATTTTTACATTAGTGTTATACATTAGTACACAGAAAGCAAGAAGATAGAATAATATTGAGACACAAATTTACGTTGAGTGGAGTTTCATTTGGCATTCTGGCAAGCAGATTGACATCTGAACAGATTGCATACATGTATGTGTTTTCAAGTGAAAAGAACTGCGGCCAGTTGTACGAAGGCTGGATGCTGCTGTCCACCAGTTAGTGATGTTCTCAACCTTTCTAAAAATGCTTAGAAAGCGATAAAATTTCTGTTTTGGGACCAACAATTGTTAAAGAGGATCCTCAATTTAGGAATATTAAGATTCAATCAAAGTTATTCCTAACAACAGGCGATTTTAAAGCAATTGAAAAAACCACTATCGGGTGGATAGCACTATCCGGCTGTCATACAACTGGCCCCATCTGTGTAGATGTATTGTTTCATAAATGTACCTGTACAGTCGTTAAAATCATATCAACTAAGAGATACATTGCTTGGCCTAATAACTATGTACAGGTGAAGTTTTTGTTTTACAAGTAAAAGTTTCTTTTCCATACATACATTGAAAAATAAGTATAACCTAAAATTAAAAAACCTAAATTCTAATTATCATGTTTCATTTTCTATAATTATTTTAACTGCATCAATTATATTTTCAACATTATGATCAGGTCTTCTCATATGAGGTTGAAATTTGATATCTTTGTGGACATGATCAGGCATTTCAACTAAACTATCTAAGTTGGCTTTCGAATGCACACCGGTGGAAACCAATATTGATATAACATCCTCCACAGTAGACAATTTATTTCCTGTGTCCTTTTTCATATCCTCTTTGTACAAGTTTCCACCGTAGATATCAGTATCAGGATTGTCTCTAAATTGTAAGCATGCTCTTTAAACTATGACATTTTAAAGCAAATATGATTTGATACCAGCGACATACCCTATGACATATATTCTCTTGAGGAGATGCGACGAATTAGGACCATGTTTACTTTGCAAATATTTCTCAATTAACTTCTCAGCATACTTGAATGTTATCAGAAATGGTTTGCCAGTTATCATGTTATATTCCAAAGAACGGCCTGTGACTTTCTACAAAAAATGACCGTCTAATTTTAAATGCATTCACCCTAATGATGGGCAAAGTAATAATAATTCCAACCTGATATAATGATTCCAGGCAGAATAGAAATGCACCATGTCCAAATCTTAAAATATATTCAACATAAAATTTTAGAAATTGCTAAACTAAAACACCGTATAATATGTTTATTTGTACCTTGGTAATGGTGCCTCAGCAATCCACATTAGGTCTGTATTGCAAGCAACTACAGGAATATGTCTCTCTGGTATTTGGTTAAGACATTTTGATGGGTTGCCATTAGAAATCAGCAGGTCTATGCACAACTGAAGAACACTCTCCCATCGAATTGGTTCACCCAATAAAACTATCCCTGTATATGTAATATAAGGGTAAACTCTTGGCTGTTTCTTTGACATGGTAAGGGAGCTAGAGCTCATGGCAATGGTTAACACAATGTTTAGCAAATACCTTCAATATCTGCAATTTTCCTCTTTGATTGACAATCCTGAGAAAAATTATCATTAATTTTTTTAGCATCTAGGCAACAGTGCCATTAGGCCTAAAAACCAGCAATACTAAACCCAATGTGTTATATAATGCTTACATTTAGTGTCTCATAACGCCTTGTTTTGTCAACCATGTCAAGCAGTGGATATGCTATTCGAATGTCATCAATTTCACAGATATTTTTGAAACCAAGAGTGAAAGTGGTTAAGAAAGATTATAACTTCTGTTCATTCAGTTAATTATGAATTATAAGATAAATCTGATACAAGCTAAGAGATAAAGAAGGATATGAGAATGCTGTGGCACGAATATTTTGCTGCCCTAGCACTAAAACAAATTTATCAAGAAGACCTTCATACAGACGTAATGGGCTATGTGACAGCACCACTTGTTCTTCTTTCACCTGCAATAAAACTGATGGTAAATCTTGCCTTCATCTGTCAATCATACAAGAATTTCTCGATCTTATTACCTGAATGTCGAATATTTCAGATAGACTTTTCGCCTTTTCATGTTCTAATTGCAAACCCTGATTTGTAAGAAATACCACAGGAATGTTTTTATCATATAAAGCCTTGATTGATTCCCTTGCACCTGGTATAACTCGGCGACCACGTAGTAACACGCCATCTATGTCGCACAAAACTCCTGCAAAACGTTGCTTTCTCTCGGTTTTTGTACAGCAAATACTTCGAACTGTTTGTCTAAATATAGTTATGTTTCTTGGTTTCATGAAAAACATTTCATTTATAAATGACCTGTCAGCCGTCAGGCAGGTATTTGGACACAAGTGATTCAAAGATCAACAACCTGCCATGCAATTATTCTGCCGACCAGATCGAATCGTCAACGATTGTCCTAATCCAAAACCATCGTTTTAAAATGTTTCTTTCCAAATTTCTAAAATTTTAAATAATTGAAAATATTTTAAATATGAATTGTTGCAAATGTAAACGGCAGCGAGATATTTTTCCGGGAAAAGTGCATGGCAAAATGCTGGACATTTTTTTCGAAGGAGGAAGGAAGAAGAACTTTCTTAATACTAATGGTGGAAACACCGAGCAATCCTTTCGCCATTTTGTGTCCAACGTGTTTTCAAAATCATTTTTGCGAAAGTAAAACTCGATTTTTTTTCTTCAAAAACATGAGTGTGGATCCTTACGGACCTGCATCGCAAACACTGACGTTTCTAGATACCGACGAAGCTGATTTTGGAGCAGATACGCAAGGAAGTGCATATGAATTTACCGATTTTACAGCGCCCTCTCAAACGCAGACGCAGTCTCAGGCCAGTCAGCCGGTGACAGAAAGTCAACAAGATGAAACGCCTGAGAAAGAGGAGGCCAACAAAGAGAAATTAACCAACGGAGAGGAAGAGAATGAATCAAAGGACGTTACCAATGTAACGAAGTCTTTGGGAGAATTAAACTTTGAAGAAGACGATGATGAGGCGTACTATAGTAAAGATCTTCCTTCTCATGCTTGCAGGTAATCTACCTTTTATATTTTATCAAAATATATATTTCCTTCAGCAACTAATCCGGAAACACTTACTTACACAAAAAAAATGGGATAATAGTCCTGTAATATTCAAAATATATTGTATATATTTTGTTTTTATACACATTTTGTCTGATTTTAGTATTTCTATTAAATGTCAGTTGAGTTTTTATATCAGAAAACATTTGCTTTTTATGCCATGCAAACTGAGATATTTGGTTTTTTAATTGTCAATCTCTTAGATACTGTGGTATACACGATCCTGCATCTGTTGTCCTTTGTAATCATTGCAAGAAATGGTTTTGTAATAGTCGTGGTAACACTTCTGGAAGGTACAGTATGTTAGAATAACTGTAGAAGAGTCTGTCATGCATTAAATTTAGCAGAGTGTTTCAGTAGATAAACCCACAGTTTTACTAAACGTTATTAAAATTCACATCTAAAGAAGTATGACTAATATGGGATGCTTGAAAGAAAATATACTACTGTAGGTCTAACAAAAAGCTGACCCAGAAATAAAATGTTATTCTAGAGGATAAATAACTTACTTGAATTGATATATCTATGGTTGTGCCAGTATGTAGGTAACAATGTAAATATAGATATCAAATAAATCTGTAAACAGTTCAGATATGAATGATAATAGATTATTGTTTATTATTTTCTTCCTTGCGGTCCGGATTCGTATTTTAGTTGTTTCCTGCAATCTGATTGGCTACGTGAGCGGTCTGTATGAGGCTGTACGGACCGCGCGAGATTTAAAAGCACAGAGCCAGCGCTAAAATAGGAATTTGGACCGAAAGAAAAAATGAATATATTATTTACCACTTTAGTCGTTCCGTATAGGGAAATATTTCCCTCAGTCTCAAAAACGTCTCTCGAGGGAAATATTTCCCTATATGGACTTCCGATCTGGTAAATAACATATATATATTACCCACGTTGGACAACCATGTGTGGAATATCTTTTCAGATACTTAAGGCATGAACTCAAAGTATTTAATTCATTCTACTGGGGTCTGAAAAGCATTTTCTCATTTAGTCACATCATCAATCATCTTGTGAGAGCAAAACACAAGGAGGTTACATTGCATAAAGATGGACCACTTGGTGAAACTGTGTTAGAATGCTACAACTGCGCCTCAAAGAACGTCTTTCTCTTGGGATTTATCCCAGCAAAAGCTGATTCAGTTGTTGTGTTACTTTGTCGGTGAGTGCCCTAGTCCCTGGCTTAATATAATATCTACACAGAGAGTTTAGAATGTTATATTTTATTCTGTCATTTCTAGGCAACCCTGTGCCACACAAAGCAGCCTAAAAGATATGAACTGGTGTGTATTTTTAAAAACAAATCAAGTCATAGTTACAATTCTAGACCACAATAGATCAACACAGTTATTGCTTGGGATTGTATTATTAATTTTTTCCATCATTCAGGGATCCAACCCAATGGCAGCCGTTGATAAACGATCGTTGCTTTCTATCTTGGTTGGTCAAGATACCTGCAGAGGAAGATCAGATGCGAGCCAGACAGGTTAGCTTTGTTATATATGTTCATAATCAACTAGTTTCAAGCTTCAATCTGATGTAGCTTTCACAACTTAAGTTACATGTATTCCTGTTGCAAAATATGATGTGTTGGATCTTCCTGTGGTAATTTAATTGTACTAGGATCAAATTTAATTTTTTTGTCAATTATCATTTCTTCTAGATCAATGCTCAGCAAATCAATAAACTGGAGGAATTATGGAAAGTATGTAGCGACTGTTTTAAATCAAGCATATTTTAGTTCTCACTTTCATAAACCATTTTCACCTTCCCACCTTCATTTTAATTCAAAAACTTGTTCTTGTTTATTAGAACAATCCTGAGGCCCTCTTGGAAGATCTAGAAAAACCAGGTGTTGATGATGAACCTCAACCAGTGATGCTACGGTAAGTTAACAAAGTACAAAGAGTTTTTCCTGGTTACTATGGTTGGATAACCATAGTACTAATAAAGATATTATTTGCAGATATGAAGATGCATATCAGTATCAGAATATATTTGGTCCACTTGTCAAGCTTGAAGCAGATTATGATAAAAAACTCAAAGAATCTCAGGTTAGAAATGCTTTGCTTTAGAGATCACAATTTATATAGGCTAGTATCGTGATCACGGTACAGTGTATTAGATTTATAGTTAAAAGCCCAGGATAGTAGTGTGATTGTTGAACAGTGGAATTAGGATTAAATATATCATCATTTTTATAATGTGCTTTAATATATAGACTCAGGATAATATTGTGATCCGTTGGGACATTGGATTAAACAAGAAACGTATTGCATACTTCACTTTCCCAAAAGCAAATGATGATATTCGGCTCATGGCTGGTGATGAACTCAGAGTGCGCTATGTTGGAGAACTACACAAACCATGGCAAGGTGTAGGGCATGTCATCAAGGTTCCAAATAGTATCCTCCAGTAAAATTAATCTTGCTTCCACCAGATTAGATACTTTCGAGTATTGCTAACACCACATAATTAATTTCAATAATAAGTTATTTTTATTTTTTGTCAAAGATATTGTACTTAACCTAGTATTTCTCAGATTTTGGAGAAGAAGTAGGGATTGAATTGAGAAGTAATTTGGGAGCACCAATCGAGTGCACACATAATTTTTGTGTAGACTTTGTCTGGAAATCAACATCCTTTGACAGGTACAGTGAACTTGTTTCTTTCGTAGTTTAAGGAAGCAGTAGTTTGTATTGTGATCAAATTGTTTTCTCTTCCTTGCAGGATGCAAGCAGCCATGAAGACATTTGCGGTGGATGAGACTTCAGTCAGCGGTTATATTTATCATAAATTACTTGGCCATGACATGGAGGAACAGATTGTGAAGTGTACCTTGCCCAAACGGTTCTCAGCACCTGGTTTACCAGAACTCAATCATTCTCAAGTATACGCTGTCAAGACTGTCTTGCAAAGACCTCTGAGCCTCATCCAGGTACCATCACTGTTCTAAATAGTTAGAGTAGGATTTTTAACTAAGCCTGGTTAAAGTGTACTGTAAAAGTGTCTGTGGGCACAGTTGAAATTTTACATTGGTAAGCCCTTAGTTTTACTTTTTAAATAACATGTACTGTTTTATTTCCCTCAAATATTTCCACTAAAATTCTTGGGATCTGCCTTTGCAAATTGTAGTACAACTGTGATTTGCCAATATAAACCAGGTCCTTGCTTGGGATTGTACCTGTTTTTTGCTTCATATTTCATTTTTCATTTAAAGGGACCACCAGGTACAGGGAAGACTGTTACATCTGCTTCAGTTGTCTATCATCTTGTACGGCAAAACATGGGGTATGAAATGTGTCCATTTCTTAATACTTTGTTCGCACTGCGTTCCACTAAAGTTTCCTTCAGTGTCTTTATTCTATGTCGTATTTTTCTTCAGTCAAGTTCTGGTTTGTGCCCCAAGTAATATTGCAGTTGATCAGTTGACTGAGAAAATACATAAAACTGGACTGAAGGTATGTATTTATTTATTTATTAGCCAGTAGAAACTCTGCCAGTAAAGGAATCACCAAGGTCTTTAACCTCCCCATGCCCATGTTAAAAAATGTACATTATTGAGAATATGCTGTGCAAACATCCTGTGAAAAAAAAATATTGATTAGTAAAATTAGTAAATATATTGATTAATTAATGTAGGTTCAGTACCATCTCTTACAAAAAAGACTTCTTATTGCAATGTTTGAAGAACTCACAGAAGTTATGTATTTGTCAGGTTGTTCGTCTTTGTGCAAAAAGTCGTGAAGCAATTGATTCTCCTGTCGCCTTCCTGGCATTGCACAATCAAGTGAGAAATATGGACAGTGTTCCTGAGTTGCAGAAACTTCAACAACTGAAGGATGAGCAAGGAGAGTTGTCCTCTTCTGATGAGAAAAGATATAAAACTTTGAAGAGAAACTGTGAAAGAGAATTGCTTCAGGTAATAATAGAAAATGTGTTATTGTACCCTGGTTTATACATGTGTGGAAAAATTCAACGGACATTTTTCTGTAGAATGCAGATGTGATATGCACAACATGTGTTGGTGCTGGTGATCCACGCTTGTCAAAGTTCCGCTTCAGATCTGTCCTGGTGGATGAGTCAACGCAAGCTACTGAACCTGAGTGTATGATTCCTGTTGTTGTTGGCTGTAAACAGGTAGAGAATATACCTTGTGTCTGGTCCGGTGTAAATCTTTTATGAAGTTAAATATTTCATCTTCTCTATACAGCTTGTGCTTGTTGGTGATCACTGTCAATTGGGACCAGTTGTGATGTGCAAAAAGGCGGCCAAGTAAGTATTTGGCTAGAATTTGCACAATTAATTATTCAGTCATCATTTAATTATCAAATATTCCACTGTAGTGCTGGCTTATCTCAGTCATTGTTTGAACGTCTGGTTGTGCTTGGTATAAGACCAATACGTTTGCAAGTTCAATATCGTATGCATCCTGCTCTCAGTGAATTCCCGTCCAACTTGTTTTATGATGGTACTTTACAGAACGGCGTCACCGTTGGTAAATATGGTTTTTTCCAGCTTTGAGTTCTGACTAGATTTTACCCTCCAGCTGGTGTATGTTGGACAATACTAATACAGCATAATTTTTTCCACAGCTGAAAGAATGCAGCCAGGTATGGATTTCCCTTGGCCAGTACCTGAGAAACCAATGTTCTTTTACGCTACAACTGGGCAAGAAGAAATTGGATCTTCTGGCACCTCCTTTCTTAACAGGTTAGCACCTCCACTGCGACTTTTATTTCTGATTTTAAAAAGAGATAAATTTGCAGACATTTACATTTCCCATCATAATCTTGTCGTGTAGGACCGAGGCTGCTGCTGTGGAAAAAATTGCAACTCGATTTCTCCGTGCTGGTGTTAAGCCTGAACAGATTGGCGTGATCACTCCTTATGAAGGCCAACGAGCTTATATCGTCCAGTACATGCAGTACAGTGGCTCTATGCATGTCAACTTATACCAAGTAATATCTCTTTATTGCTGCTATACACCACTTGTTTGCACAGTATATGACTTCAGATATTTTTAGGAAATTGAAGTGGCAAGTGTGGATGCATTTCAAGGACGTGAAAAAGATTACATTATTTTGTCTTGTGTCCGTTCTAATGAACATCAGGTAAATGCATCTCAAAAAACAGGTGATGTTCATGTTATATGTATACTGAAGGAATATTTCGTCTGTGTTTCTTGTAGGGTATTGGCTTCTTACAAGATCCTCGTCGTCTAAATGTTGCATTGACTAGAGCCAAGTTAGTTTTGCCTTTTGTCGTTTAATATTTTACTCGGCTTGATATTTTACGCGGTACTCCTTTTTTGTATAGATATGGAACTTTGATTGTTGGAAACCCAAAAGTTTTGTCCAGGGTTGGTAAATCCTAAAGTTTCTTACGTATTTTATTTTGTGGCGACTCTGCTCAATCCTTCACAGATCTGCCTAGAATATTTTTTGTATCTTTACAATGTTTTATTTCTTTAGCAAGAATTGTGGAATCACTTGTTAAACTATTACAAGGAGAATAAAGTTCTTGTTGAAGGTTGGTCTTTTTTAATGAGAATTATTTGCAAGTGCTTAGATGGTTCTTAGAATTTTGAGATATGTTGATCATATTTATATAGGACCTTTGAACAACATGAAGGAAAGTATGATTCAATTCAGTAAACCAAGGAAACTTGTCAACAAAACAAACCCGGTAAGTTATGTTTCATATGCTGCAATCATTCTGAGAATCATTCTGTACCGACTATGAACCATTTCCCATTACCCTTACTCCATTCTTTAAAATCACAAGAGATGCTGTAACTTATATTCTTATGCTTATCATTCATAGGGAGGTCGCTTTATGAGTTCTACAATGTTTGATGCGCGTGAAGCGCTTATGCCCGGCCGCGTTATCGGTCCTGGTTTTGCGCCACAGATTGATCCTACGGCGACATACCAGGACGCTTACTACCGGACGCATGACAGAATGGGTTATATTGGTGCGGAGCGAACAGTTGCAGCTGCTGTTGGAAATATCCCTATTCCTGTGGGAATGTTTTTGCCACCTATGCCTCCCCAACCTCCACATAACTATTACAATCAAGTAAGTCCAAAACTTTTGTATCAGATTTCAGATTCCGCAGTTAAACTACGCCACAACTGGGAACTACGTTTTGTTATAGACAAGAACATTTATACTGTACCCTGTTTCAAACTATGTTTGTTTCATTACTATGTTTGGTTTTTAGGCCATGCCAGGTCGCCCAATGCCAGGTGTACGACAACAACATGTTTCTAATCAGTATAATCGCAACAACCGTGCACAAACTTCAAACAATAGACATCAAGTAAATCATGGTTCCTATGGCATGAATACAAGCCAGGCTAGTCAGGTAAGATGATAACTTAGGGAAAAAAATCTCCAACACTTGCCGCTGTTTGTTGATAATATATATTGTAATTACAGGAGGCCTCACAGCCATTATCCCAAGGTCCGCTTACTCAAGGTGGTATGTCTCAACCTATGGCATCTCAACCATTATCCCAACCAGAACTGTCACAGGTATGTAATGCAAACATCTGTAGTACTTTCACTATGAAGTCTTGGAAGCACAATTCTCTTAAATATTTTACCCTGTGGTTTATTCTTATAGGATAGTTACTTGGCTGAAGATTTTCACTTGAAGTCTCAAGGGGATGCAGTCCTCTCTCAGGATTCCACGTATCAAGGCGATCAGGGTTACATGAACTCCCTGCCTGATTACAGCCAACCTAACTATGCCTCCCAGTATTAAGTGCCCGTCTGCAGGCATGTAGGGGACCCATACAGTATCAGGCCTGGTTCCCACTGCCCTCATTCAGGCCAAGATTGGAGGGAGATGCAGTAAAGTAGGTGATTGTACCCTCGGAGAGTTGAGAACAAACCCTTTGTTGAGATAAGTTGAGATTTATTACAAGACCATTTCATCGTTCACTATTATTACCACTGAGTTCGTTATAACAGCAATAGCAGGCAACTACTGAATCTTGAGTGATATCATTTAGAACAGGAATGTAAAGAATACCATTGTGTCAATTATGATAAAGAATACCAAACTAGTATTAAACAGTTGAGACATAAGTTAAATATATGTCTGTCAGATAATGAAAGTGATGACCAATTCACTATATCCATTTCTAGTTGTTCGCAAAGCTTGTAACCACTCATTTTTACAAATATATCTTTAAAACGCATTAAAATAATTTGATTGTTGAAAACAGGTCTACGGTACCTACCATACTTGATATGCAACTATTCACATCGAATGCAAACGACATCATTTCGTTTGATGGTATTTAATAAAGTATGGGGGATTTGATGGCCGCTGTTCGTAAGATATCTGATATCTCAGGCTCACGTGGACTGTTCTTTTGCTGAGAGTAAAAGATTAAAAATTGCGTGAATTGTTTTGTTTTTTGCATTTTGTTTATTTTAGGATGTTTGTATTTACTTTTTTAGTCAAAAATGTCTGAAATGACCTTTGTGATCATGGTTACGACTTATGTTTACGATGAATATTCGCATATTTCGCTATATTTACCTGCACGTCAAGGTCCCAAACATTGATCAATGGTCCCAAACTAGTATTTAGTAAAAAGTTAGACGTTTAAAATGAAGAAATTTAAGGACAAACTTGGGAAAGGATCATCTTCTCATGTTAGTATTAAAAAACAAAGCTATGAAATTGCTTTATTCTATTATAAAATCGTACTTTATACAAGAACGTATTAAAATATTCACCATGTCCTTTTTTCTGCAGGTAGCTTTGATGGAGTGGACGAAGTATGATGATAAAATATTGGATTATATTGTTCATAGTGAAGAAAATAAGTTGAGGTAGGTATAACAGGGTGGGTTGAGAACCACTTTAAGCTGTTTTTCCCACATAAACCTGTAAATATAAATATTAATATTTCTACCAAATAGGTTGGCTTTATTGAGGAAAGGTGTCACACCTTTAAAGAAGAAATCTGATGGAAAAACAATGTAAATATTTCAAAATATATAAATATGAAAAACATGGCCCATCTATTTTGTATCACTGTCTCACGTGTTTTAGTCGGAAACTATCACTGATACTGTGACAAAAATCATTGTTGGTTGTATTATTGTACTGTTTTATATATTTATTTATTTATTTATTTTGCTTTGCCACTTGAATACAAAGAGATACTGTAATACAAACAGCACAAAGTTAATACAAATGCACTAATATTCATAAACTGATAAATCACATGGCAGGGTATTGCTACAACTCATGCCATGCAATTACAGAAATAACTGAATGTCTGAATTAAGATCACAATAGAGTCCTTCCAGTGACTCTATCATCTCTTTCAGGTTGGATGTTGCTTGTGAACATGGTCACGTTGAATGCCTTGAAGCATTACTAGAAAGGTGTCTGATGTTTGTACCAGTCAGTAAAGCAGGTTAGGAAAGTTGAGTGATTGAAGAGAAGCAAATTGAAAATCTCTTCAAAATAATTATTTTTTATCATAAGGTGGCTCAGCACTGCATACTGCCGCAAAATCTGGGAGTGCAGATTCCATTGTTAAATTATTGCAATATAAAGTTCGAGTTGGAAGTATAGATGCGGACAAGATGACAGCCTTGCATCATTCAGGTATTCAGCTGTATTAATTTTTGAAACCTTTTTGTGTATTTGTAATACATGTATCATATTGCAAATCCAGTCTATTCATTTTGAATTGAAGAAGATGCTAAATTTGTTTTGTATTCACAGCAAGCAAAGGCCATGTTGATTGTGTAAGAATTCTTATTCAAAATGGAGCAAAGTTAAATTCAAGAGATAAGGTTTGTTTACTTATTTGCAGTTTCTTTCAAGTTTCAACCACCAGGCATTAATGACCTGGGTTCACAATGACTGGGTTGAAATGAGATCACTCCACCATTGCAAATTATCTCATGAATGTTAAAACCTAACCCTTTTTGGGAATTTTATAATACTTCATAACAGAAGCCAATCTATTCCCTTTTTTCTGATGTGTAGAACAGACACTACCAAGTTTTCAATAAAAATTAACGTCTTTGTAAATATAGGATGGTAGAACACCATTGTTGATTGCTATTCAGGCTGCTCGGGAAAGTATTGTACAAATACTTGTGGAAAATGGAGCAAGAGTCAATGTCACTGATAGTGCACATAAGTAAGATCCTTGTTAAATTCCAGGGGCCGGTTGTATCAAGCCCGTTTAGCTTAAACGGTGGTTAAGTTCAAAATAGAAAGTAAGTCTATCGTTTATTCAACAAGCAAACTAAATGTTTTTAACCTTAATACAAAGATACTGTTTACAACTACATATTCAATGCATAATATTCAAGTTGACTTATTCAAGAGAGATGTAAGGGTTATCTAATCTTGATACAACCGGCCCAGATATTATTATTATTATAGACTACAAACATTATATGTGGCATGTAGAGTATTTTAAACCTCCTTTTTAGAACACCATTAATGTATGCGTCTTTGATTGGTCTGAAAGATGCTGTTTGTACATTGTTACAACACGGGGCTAATCCATTATTGAGGGATAGTAATGGTCACCAAGGTACGTACAATATGAACATTTTCATGAATTGCTAGCTGGTACATATAATATTGCATTGATGAAGAGCTTTTCATATTCCAGCTGAAGATTTTGCTCGGATCAGTGGATATGGTGAAATTTGAGGATAATTTCTGACACTCCAGTTTTACCCAATGGGATTATGGTATCTATAACCATACCTCTATTTTTGTATTAAATTATTGTAATTGAATTTAACTTAATGTAGTATGAATTTAGCTGCTGGTTTGCCAAACAATCATTTAACAAATACTTACTGTACTTACAATTATTTTTGTAGCTGAGGAATATATTGATGTGAGGACTTCAAGATGTAAGTGATTTTATTCTTGTTCTTATTCCTGCATTTTGAAAATCACAGTTCCATTGGCATTACTTTGCTGATGTAATTATTCCCCTTTAGGGATCTGTGATTGGTGTAATGACGGCTCCGATGTTGCTCAATGTTGTCTCATCCTGATTCAGCACAGATTCGGTGTAAGCTTGTTTCCTCGATAACTTTTTTATGTGGCACCTGGCACTGCTGATTTTATGCTTTGACTGTTTTAGAGTGTCTACAGCAGTGACGCTCATCTTCGGTATGTTGATGCATTTATTAAATTACTAAATTGTTCAGTTATTTTGTGCCCCACCATGACTTTGGTCTTAATGGTCATTTCGAAGTTCTTTACTGCTAAACAATGACAGGAGAATCATTAAGGGCCATTGTATTACAGTGCTTTTTTCCTTCCATATATATAGCCATCCATCCATTGATTATATATGTTTGGGCACAGCAAAATTGCATCCTACAATAGCACAGCTTGTACTTGTACTGTGTAATTAAAATTTTATCCTTAAAGCAATATTTCTTTAAATCTTAGTCACGTCATTAGAAGATAATCTTCTATTAATCCAACTTTTCTTATGATCTACTCAAAATGTTGACGACATTGGCGCCCATTACTTTGCATATATGACATAATTAAGTTGCCTTGCTTTTACCAAAAGCTTTTAGTGTATACTTTATGCAGACGTTTTTCTGGGGAATGATATAGCTGGCATTTGAAAAGTTGCATAGCTGCATCTTAAGTTGATCTTAGATGAACTAAAATAGTATTTTCTCTGCAGCATTCTGTTTCAACATTCATTTCCTCATCGCATCCTGGCAGGCTTGAAGCAAATGTTTGTTTGGATCAGGTAAAGCAGTTGTTTTTTTGTCTTCATCTTGATTTGGTCTTAGTTGTCCAAATTGCTGCATGAAAACATTGCATCCAACATCTAATATATGAGAAACTAACCAATTAACAAATAGGCCATGTGCTGTTGGTTTTGTATAGTCAGTCCAAAACAACACACATACATTGACTTTCTGAATGACTTTACTTGATTAATGATAATATGTACCTGCATGGGTGATTTGTTTCTGTATATGTATGCAAGCTTCAGATGATCATCTGTCTTTAACATGTTTAGGAGTTAGAAAGAGAAAATAACCGATTAAACACTCAACTGCCCACAATGGAAATGTCACACTCAACAAGGTAAGAATTAAGAATATAATGTACCGTGATGTGAAAACATTGCTTCAAACCATTTCATCGCAATCTATGTACTACATAAATTTCTGATTTACCTTGTACACCGACAATGCAAAATAAGAACTTAATAAAAAATTCTATTTTGTTACGTCTAGAACAAAGTAAACAGATTGAAGGAGGACATTAATTATAACAAATAACTGTTGGACAATCTGGTAGATTGAAATAAAAATATTAATATAAAACTTTAGTCAATTACATATCAAAGTGATGTCCTTCTGTTCCATTAATTTAAATTCAATTTTTTTTTCAAAGATGATGTGGAAAAAGTACAACAGGAGTTTTCGAGGGAAATAATGCATTAAAAGCAGAAAATGAGCAATTGAAAAATGAGCTGGTAAGATATATTTTAATTACAGACTGTGGATTTTATGCATTTAATTAACTTCTCTGAATAAGTTATATTAATCATTCCTACATAGATTGATATTAATGTTGATGACAGTATACCAACTATTCCTATAACAGTTTATCAGGAATTAAGGTAACTTAATTATATATAAACCAGTATTATAATTGATTGTTGTAATGTAACTATACAGGCCTAGACAAAATTGGTTGGTACAGGTTTAGGTCACTTACTCATCAGGTGTTCTCTTATGTAAAATAGGAATCGACTGAAGAAGAACTGTCAACTTTGAATGCTAGTTTTTCAAATTTAAAGAAGGAAAATGATAATTTAAAACGTCAGGTATGCATATATAGTGTTTAATAATGGGACCATGCATGCATGTTATGGCAATGCAGGTATATCATTAATGTAATATATAGATGTAATAATGCAATTGAAAATGGTTTGTTTAGATTTTGGAATTGAAACATCAAACACGGGATGAGCACAAATGAAATCTGAGCAGAAAATTTGTGCTTTGGAGGAACAAGTTTTAAGGCTTCAAAACCAGTTGATGGTATGAAACTACATCATCCTACTTTGTAATTTGATAAACTGCATTGTTAATACACTATATCTGCCAGGTTTTTAAATGCTATATTTGCAAATTCACACAGGAGGCAGATACTGAGCATTCCAAGACAATTAATGTGTATAGATTACATCTACTCAATGCACTACAGGTAATGAAATTAGCCTGGACTAACTTTAGCTAAACCAACTCATTTTAAAACAGAAATCATCAATCTTGCTGTAGGGAGTTATAAGCAAGGATGTTAAAAAAGCATTGGAACTTATTTGAAAATACGAAATGATGAGCAATTTTGTTGATGATCTGGATCATCGAAGGAAAAGGAATAGAAAAGATGAATAGGTATTCTTTGAATCCCACTTTAATGCCTTTTGTATTTACTGCAGCACACAAACAATTATTTTAGCTTAGAGCAAATCAAAAAATACATAAACAACTTACTTCCATATACATTTGAGCAGCCTACATTGTAGATGGTCTGTCAACCTGGGGCCGGTTGTATCAAGCCCGTTTAGCTTAAACGGTGGTTAAGTTCAAAATAGAAAGCAAGTCTATCGTTTTATTCAACAAGCAAACTAAATGTTTTTAACCTTAATGCAAAGATACTGTTTACAACTACATATTTAGTGCATAATATTCAAGTTAACTCATTCAAGACAGATGTAAGAATGTTATTTAATTTTGACTTATCCACCGTTTAAGCTAAACAGGCTTGATACAACCGGCCCAAGAACACTAGTTCAGTTAGCTAATGTTATTTTACTCAAGGTCTTTTCTCAAGATCTCTGAAATAACACCATTATGTACATATTATATCACAAGGCCTAAAATTCTATATATAAAATGTGTTTTAGCACTTGATTGTAATATAGGACATGTATGTTACATAAGTTTATTTGATATCTAGGATGTTGATAGTGGAGATGACAAACACTTGTTTATATAGCTGTGTTTCTAATGCATTTCATACCCACAATCAACTTCAGTTTCAAGGTAGCCAAATATATACAAAGTTTAAGAGTATAACAGTCACTCAAAGATGTTCACCTAACTACATCATGCAGATATGTCAAAATTAGGGTACATTTTAGAGTCAAGTGTAGAAAATTATTTCAGGAATTTGTCCGTCCTCGACCGAGGTTCCATTATTGTTTCCAGTAGCATATGAAAAATGAAACACAATATTCTCATCCTTTGGTTCAGGTATTTCACAAACAACTTTACGCTGTCCTTTTGTGCCATAATACGAATCAGCACCTTTCAAGGTTGCACTTGCAACATAAATGATGCTTGGGGAGAGTTCTATTGGTTCACTGAACATCACACGGAATATGCTTGGGGTTCCATCGCAACTAAACGCTGTGTCGTTCTCTCCACAAACCAAGCCAGTCTCAGTGTTAATGATTTGCATTTTGACATTGTAATCACTGGGACCATGAATTGCACCATAAAGGCCCAAACCAACAACAAAGATACGCTTGTTTACCGAGAACCGAATCCGATCACTTGTACCACTATAACCCCATCGGTTTTCAACTTTTGAGAATCTCCTGACAGACTTCTCCCGGCCGGTCAGGCAACATCTTGGCTTATCAATGAAATTAACTTTTGGTTTGGGATTCACATGGAAATACAGAAATAAACTGACAATTTCTTTCTCTGTTAAGATACCAGATTGTGCTGGGCCTGTTGCAAAATCTTCCACTGGCATCAATGGGAAACGGATCTGGTACAAAGCCTCAGATAAGACACACCTAGAAATAGAATTAATTTTTCATCTATTTGCAGAGGTTGGGTTTTGGTCGAGGGTACAAAGTCGAGGGTCGATTTTTGTCGGATTTTCGATCATCGATTTTTGTCGGATTTTCGATCATCGATTTTTGTCGGATTTTCGATCATCGATTTTTGTCGGATTTTCGATCATCGATTGTGATTATTAATTTCAAATGTCAACAGTTCTCTAAGTCGTAACCACTAAAATTTAGACGTGAATCCTTGCAAAGAGCTCCCTTCCATACCAGAATATATTAATGATTGTAATACACGAGAGATCTGTATTATTTACCTTAGATTTGCTGGCGTTTTGTTCAATTCCTTTCGCTCGCATTCTTGTTTTGCCCATCGCACTGCGTGTTGAAACAACTGGCTTTCTTTCAGTCCTAGTGTGTCACGTTTTAAAACAGCTAACAATGTATTGTAATCAATATCCGTAAAACCTTCGGCATTAAAACTTTCAAACGTATTCTTATCAATACATTCCAAACATCTAGTTGCTAACTGTGACTCGTCAAATAATCTCGCCTGTGTCAACAGCATGAATGCATTATCAGGACGAAGGTTTTTCTTTAAAAAATCAACGCAAGCATCTTCCATAATCGGCACTACGTATTTTTTAGCTGCATATAATGTAGTCATGACAGTTTCTGGGCCGATTTGGATCTCGTCTGTATATAAGAATTTTAGGAGAGCAAGAAAAGCTGATGATTCTACATCAGGCAGTTCTACATCATCATTTGGGCTTGCTATACCACCATTGAACATTGCATCAAAGACAGCGCTTCCCATTGAGAGGACAAACCGATGTGCAGGAATACGTCGTCTTTGCGAACCCTTGCCAACGATAAAATGAACATCACAGAGTATTTCATTATTGAACAAAAACTTTACTCTATCGTAGACATTAGTTTTTCCTGCTTGCCAATTGTACGGTTGTGTAGACATACTGTTTCTTGCGATTGTTTGATACGCGACATATTGATTTTCCGTAATGGAAATATCGAATCAAACTAATCTTTCTGGGTTATAAGCCCATGTTACGGGTCACGGAATATATAATTAGAATCGCGGAAATATATAACACAGTGTTTCCAGTTTTCTGTGTTTCCATGTTTCTATGTTTCTTATTTCTATGGTTCTAGTTTCTATGTTTCTATGTTTCTACGTTTCTGTGTTTCTATGTTTCTGTGTTTCTATGTTTCCAGGTTTCTACGTTTCTGTGTTTCTATGTTTCTGTGTTTCTGTGTTTCTGTGTTTCTGTGTTTCTGTGTTTCTGTGTTTCTGTGTTTCTGTGTTTCTGTGTTTCTGTGTTTCTACGTTTCTACGTTTCTACGTTTCTGTGTTTCTGTGTTTCTGTGTTTCTGTGTTTCTGTGTTTCTGTGTTTCTGTGTTTCTGTGTTTCTACATTTCTACGTTTCTGTGTTTCTATGTTTCTACATTTCTATGTTTCTGTGTTTCCATGTTTCTATGTTTCTGTGTTTCTGTGTTTCTATGTTTCTATGTTTCTATGTTTCTATGTTTCTATGTTTCTATGTTTCTATGTTTCTATGTTTCTATGTTTCTATGTTTCTATGTTTCTATGTTTCTATGTTTCTGTGTTTCTACATTTCTACGTTTCTGTGTTTCTATGTTTCTACATTTCTATGTTTCTGTGTTTCCATGTTTCTATGTTTCTGTGTTTCTGTGTTTCTGTGTTTCTGTGTTTCTGTGTTTCTGTGTTTCTGTGTTTCTACGTTTCTACGTTTCTACGTTTCTGTGTTTCTGTGTTTCTACATTTCTATGTTTCTGTGTTTCTGTGTTTCTGTGTTTCTATGTTTCTATGTTTCTACGTTTCTGTGTTTCTATGTTTCTGTGTTTCTATGTTTCCAGGTTTCTACGTTTCTGTGTTTCTATGTTTCTGTGTTTCTGTGTTTCTGTGTTTCTGTGTTTCTGTGTTTCTGTGTTTCTGTGTTTCTGTGTTTCTGTGTTTCTGTGTTTCTACGTTTCTACGTTTCTGTGTTTCTACGTTTCTACGTTTCTACGTTTCTGTGTTTCTGTGTTTCTACATTTCTATGTTTCTGTGTTTCTGTGTTTCTGTGTTTCTGTGTTTCTGTGTTTCTGTGTTTCTACGTTTCTACGTTACTACGTTTCTGTGTTTCTGTGTTTCCATGTTTCTGTGTTTCTGTGTTTCTGTGTTTCTACATTTCTACGTTTCTATGTTTCTATGTTTCTATGTTTCTATGTTTCTATGTTTCTATGTTTCTATGTTTCTATGTTTCTATGTTTCTATGTTTCTATGTTTCTATGTTTCTATGTTTCTATGTTTCTATGTTTCTATGTTTCTGTGTTTCTACATTTCTATGTTTCTACGTTTCTGTGTTTCTGTGTTTCTGTGTTTCTACGTTTCTACGTTTCTGTGTTTCTGTGTTTCCATCATTTCTGTGTTTCTACATTTCTACGTTTCTACGTTTCTACGTTTCTGTGTTTCTACGTTTCTGTGTTTCTGTGTTTCTATGTTTCTCTGTTTCTATGTTTCTATGTTTCTGTGTTTCTACATTTCTACGTTTCTGTGTTTCTACATTTCTATGTTTCTACGTTTCTGTGTTTCTATGTTTCTGTGTTTCTACATTTCTATGTTTCTGTGTTTCTATGTTTCTGTGTTTCTACATTTCTACGTTTCTACGTTTCTGTGTTTCTGTGTTTCTACATTTCTGTGTTTCTGTGTTTCTGTGTTTCTGTGTTTCTGTGTTTCTGTGTTTCTGTGTTTCCATGTTTCTACGTTTCTGTGTTTCTGTGTTTCCATGTTTCTGTGTTTCTGTGTTTCTACATTTCTACGTTTCTGTGTTTCTATGTTTCTATGTTTCTGTGTTTCTACATTTCTATGTTTCTACGTTTCTGTGTTCCTGTGTTTCTATGTTTCTGTGTTTCTGTGTTTCTATGTTTCTATGTTTCTATGTTTCTATGTTTCTATGTTTCTATGTTTCTATGTTTCTATGTTTCTATGTTTCTATGTTTCTATGTTTCTATGTTTCTATGTTTCTATGTTTCTATGTTTCTATGTTTCTATGTTTCTATGTTTCTGTGTTTCTACATTTCTATGTTTCTACGTTTCTGTGTTTCTGTGTTTCTGTGTTTCTGTGTTTCTGTGTTTCTGTGTTTCTGTGTTTCTGTGTTTCTGTGTTTCTGTGTTTCTACATTTCTATGTTTCTACGTTTCTGTGTTTCTGTGTTTCTGTGTTTCTGTGTTTCTGTGTTTCTATGTTTCTACGTTTCTGTGTTTCTACATTTCTACGTTTCTACGTTTCTGTGTTTCTACATTTCTATGTTTCTATGTTTCTATGTTTCTATGTTTCTGTGTTTCTATGTTTCTGTGTTTCTACATTTCTACGTTTCTACGTTTCTGTGTTTCTACATTTCTATGTTTCTATGTTTCTGTGTTTCTGTGTTTCTGTGTTTCTGTGTTTCTGTGTTTCTGTGTTTGTATGTTTCTATGTTTCTATGTTTCTGTGTTT